GCGCTTGAGGGGATTCAATTTCATATTATATTTTCTAAGTATCTGAAAAGTTTGGTCGAGGTGACTTACGTGTTCGACTGTCTGGAGGCTTTTGACCGGCATGTCGTCAATGTAGACCTCCATGGTTTTGCCAATGAGTTTGGCAAAGATCATGTTGACCAACCTCTGATATGTAGCTCCGGCATTCTTTAATCCGAAGGGCATGACTTTGTAGCAATACAGACCCCTGTCCGTAATGAACAATGTTGCTTCCTCATCAGGTCGGAACATGGGTACCTAGTTATACCCTAAGTATGCATCCATGAAACTCAGTAGTTCATGTCCAGCAGTAGAATCCACAAGTTGATCTATTCTTGGAAGTGGGAAGCTGTCTTTGGGGCACGCCTTATTTAGGTTCGTGAAGTCCATGCATACTCTCCACTTTTCGTTGGGCTTTTTCACCAGGACCGGGTTGGATATCCACCTTGGATAGATGGTCTCTCTTGTGAAACAACTGCGGCTAAGTTTGTTTACTTCTTCTTTCAGTGCCTCGTACCTTTTCGGATTGAGGGCACGCCTCTTCTGTCTATGGGGAGCATAGGAAGGGTTGATGTTAAGGTGATGGCAACTGATCTTAGGATCTATTCCCACCATGTCTTCATGTTTCCATGCGAAGACATCCAAGTTCCCTTTCAGGAAGTTTATCATCTTTGCTTTTACTTCAGGGGACAATGACTTTCCTATACGCAAGACCTGGCTGGGGTCTTCTGGGTTGACGGGGAAAGTCTCCAATTCTTCCATTGGGGTCGCATTTGGTTCAGAGTCAATTATTCGGGGATCTAACTCATCAAGAGTGTGTCCTTGTTCAGGGACCTCTTCCATGTCGATGTCTCCCTCTTGTTCAGAGGTAAGCCCTTGTTCAGGGGCGTCGAGCATTTCCACGTCCGTACCGACTTCAGCGGGTACCTCAGTTAGGATTACATTAATAGGTCGGGGCTCGGACTTTCGCAGCGAGTTTAAGTAGTATGCCCTGGAGCCCATCTGATCGCCTCGGATCGTAGCAATCCCATGTTCGGTTGAAAATTTCATGCACAGGTAGTGAATGGACGTGACAGCCCAAAGATCTTTCAGAGCAGGTCTGCCCAATACTCCATGATAAACCGATCTGTGATCTACCACCAAAAATTCCATGAAGTACTGGGCCACTAGGGGTGCCGAACCCATCTCGACAGGCAGGGTGATCCGCCCTCGTGGGATTATGCTGTCCCCAGTGAATCCGAATAGTGGGTCGGTCATGGGGATCAACCCATGTTCTATTTGCATTTTGTCAAAAGTGGAGCCGAACAATATGTTCACGGAACTGCCATTGTCAACGAGCGTGCGTTTTAATCCGTTTCTAGCTACTATGGCTCTTACAACCAATGCATCACAATGGGGGTGGTGAACCCCCTTTGAGTCTTCCTGTGAGAAGGTGATTGGAGCCATTCGTTGACAATGTAAGTGATAATTGGGGTTCCTTTACTTCCCTTGTGTAATTTCTCTGGGCATTCCTGGTGTTGCCACCGACGTGGGGTCCCCCAATGATAGTATCAATTTCCCTAATGACCTGGCTTCCAGAAAATTGGGCTTGGTTTCCCTGTCTTGATTAACCTCGGTCCCTTGATTCTCTTCTCCGAGGAGATTGTTCCCTGTGACCTCTCCCTCCCCTCCTCGGGGAGGCTGATCTACGAGGGTATTTGTTCCTACTGGAAGGGTGCGGGTTGCTTCGATCATGGCTTCGATTGGCGTCTTGGTACTCACTAGTGTCATGTCTATAGAATTGATGGAATGTACAAAACCTTGCCCCTTCCAAGGGTCTGTTTGACCTTTTCTTCTTCTTCTTCTTGTTATCAGCTCTTCCAGGTGGTACCGCTTTGGCAGGGGCATTATCATATGTCAACACCGGTACTGCATTCAATGTGGCAGAAGCTAGGGCCTGTCCGGATGTGGGAGCTATTGTATGACCTTCTTGGGTCCATTGTTGAGTAACAAGGTGTGCTGCGGGTCCTCGACCTACCTGCCTCTGAGGAGGAGGGAGTCCCTGCGCGGCACGATTGCGATGATCAATCATTTCTTCACTAACAATTTTCACTCTCATCATTTCCACCAGCTCGTCATATGTGGAGGGATTCTTGTTGCGCACGTCCCTCCAGAACAATGTGTTCATGTTGAGCCCACCTTTCAGGGTTAAAAGGGCTTCTCTGTCAGTGATCTGTTCGCAATAGGTGATTTCGTCTGTAAACCTGGCGAGATAGCTTTTCAGCGTCTCCCCAGGGGCCTGCCTCGTATCTTGCAGGCGTTGCACTGGTGCCTCTCCTTCCCTGCGTGAGAGGTACTAGTTCAAAAATATTTTTTTAAAATCTGGCCAACTTCTAATGCTTAGGGGAGGAAGCCTGTTGTACCATACTTCGGTGGCCTCGCCTAGCGTTAAATGGAAGGCTCTGCATTTTAAAGCAAGCGAGGCTCCCCTTTGGCTTATCTGTGTCATGTACTTGGTGAGGTGCTTCTCCGGATCCCCTTTCCTTCATACTTGGGGATCTTAGGGGGCATGAAATTTACTGGCATTGGGAAGCTTCGGATCTCCCTTGAGAAAGGGAGGTTATCATCATCATCGTCAATCCCATAAGATCGACAGGGCCCATCTGACCCTTCATCATCTTGGATGTTCTGGGGAGGTGGAGGTGCTTTTCCTCGAGTTTCCCAATCGACTAGGTTCCTCCTGTCTCTCCTATTTCTGGGAGGAGGGGGAGCATGTTCTTGTTCGTGATCTGGACGAACTGATCCTCTTGCTGGGCGGACCCTATTGCTAGGACCCTCCCCTATCCGGTCGAAGACGCTTACCGACCTTTGGTCCTCATGTTCTTGAGGAAAATTGTCCCCCAAGCGTGGTTCTGATGGCTGACTCCCTTGCACATAAGATGTGGCTTCGGCGTTCATTTCCCTTTCGAGGGGACATTCCGTGTGCCGGCTCATGTGGCCTCGGGAGTAAGATACAGGGGCTTCCCGCACCGGATAAGATCCTTGGGGCATTTGATAGCCCTGATGACCCTGGGCTTGCATGAGGAGTTCATGCATTGCCATATTCTGAGCTGCGATGTCTCTCATACCTGCAGCTATCTGAGCCACTCCTTCAGTGAGTATGGCTGTTCTTCCACCTCGGTGACGCCGGTGATGTGGTCTCTGATGAGTAATATTGTTATGGAGTACCTCTTCTTTAGAGGCCTCTCTCATGGGGTTGTCGTCTTCATTCCTATAGCTCATCCTATCTCTTTTTTCAAGGGTAGTGAGAACTTGGATTGTAACTCGACTTTGTTCTTTTTCAAGAACGTCTCCTTTTCAGGGTTAGTCGCTATTTTTTCGGTAACTTCTCCGATGGAGAATGCAAAACTTCGAATGGGAAGTGTTTCCCACAGACGGCGCCAATCTGTTGACCTCGAAAATTGGTCCTTCTACGTAGCCAACTAAGAGGTACTCCACGTATTCCTCCCTGCGCACAATCAGCGAACAGTCAGGCGCCCACGGTCGGGACCAGCGAGAGTGGTGGCAACCATATACACTCCGACGGTCAAGTCAGGTTTAAGATCTCGGAACAGTACCCAAGGGCTGTGCAAATCAATGATAAGGGGGAGGAGAAAAATATATAAGCTTGCTATGGAGTGCTATGTAGTAGGAGTTTCATTACCTTTGGCTCTTGCCAAACCTTAGGTATTTGTAGGTGGTATAAGCCGTTGGATGTGGGACGCGTGTATACATCTGACGGTATGAGGCGTCCGCTCATAGGCGTCAATCCGTCGCGTCTGTAGAGTGGGCGGACAGCTTGTTAATTCTGAGTTGAATTGACATAAAGTTGATAAGTCACATCAACTAGCCTCATGGAGACGTCAAATCAATTTAAACCTTAGGTGCAGGAAGGATTTTGGCACAAATCTCTTTCTGAAATTGGCTGCGGATCTTCTAACCAGGGTCCACTTGGCCTCGGGGGCGAGGTGCTGCGGTCAGGTCAGTAGTAGGGATCGCTTGTACTTCGCAGCGTGCTACTAGGTTGCAGAAATTGCTGATATCACTTCGGACGGGTCTTTATCAGGTCGGAATATATGGTGGTGAGTGTTCCAAGGCGTATCAGATCGAAGCGTAACATATATAATTTTAACTTTGCACGACTCTTGTTTTGTGAAAAACGAACACGTTTACGTCACAATTTGATCTAGAAGATAAAGATTCATTTGTTTAGATGCTAAAAATATCAAACTTAACATCACTCATTCGTTTCAATAAAATCACATTTAAGTGACATATTGGAACATCTTAATTTCTTGAATTATTAGACCTCTTAAGTCCAAGCGTCACTAGGAGGTGGTACTTTAAGTGAGTGTTAGGTCAAAGGCCTCGGATTGAAATATGACAGGCGCTGAATTCCTAGACATGCAACTCTCATTCCCTTTCTGGTTTTAGCTATACGCTTGATTACGATGATTAGGAAGGCATATTCTGATATTCATTGTCGAATCAATTACAGGTCGCTGATTTCATTTCATTGTGGGTTTACTTAATTTTGAGCGTGACAAATAATGTATGATTATAATAATTTTTCATGAATAAATTTGTATCTTTCTTTCTCCCAATTGGTTGGATCATAAAGTGCGATGATGTGCTTCACAGGTTAGGTCTCTGATTCAAGTCCGAGACAATACAGCTGAAACCAAGAATTATCTCAAATCTACCCTGGGATATTGATTGGGATTTTCAAATATCCTAGAACTTATTGTTACATGAGATAGTTGTCAAAACCCATGTTGTATGTGTGAAAGCGGTTAACCTTCTTGCTTCTTTCAGATACAATTCGTTCAATGGAAGCAAGAAGGCCTGTGAATAAAAACAGAGTTTTTACTGTTAATCATGAATTTGATGGAGATCAACGTTTGCTTTTCACAATCTTTTACAACTACCCTTGAGAGGAACAAATAACCAGGAATTCAAAGAGATGAAAATCAAGAAGCAGGCCATAAAAATATGTTTAATAAAACACCTCTCGCCCTTAATAAATATCCCACCAATCTTTACTGTACATCAACATACCAAGAAAACACTGCAAATGAAAGACCAAACACTATTATCCTTCCAGCTAATAGAACTTAAAAGAGTTCAGAAATGAATAAAAAAGAGGCAACAATGTTTACATCAGCTAATCCATCAAATTAGATCAAGTATAATTTGTCTCCTAAGTTTCCCTCGGGCTCCAAAACAATGTCGATGGTTTCAGCACATGGATGCCAAAAGTTGTGAGTCATCAGAACCTGAGATTAGTCCGGACAAATGTTATTCATGGTGAGCATGACCTTTGCTCGCTCATAACATATCCAGACCCAAAATTCTAATATTAAATGGATCACTGCAAACTACGGGATCTACCAGTTACGGGAATGGATGCAACTTGATGAAATTGTTGAATCATTGTGCTCTCATTATCAATGCCCTTGGCAGGTGCTACACCACTCTTCCCAGTTTGCTCCAAGAGTCGAACAAGTGAAACAAAAATATCCATCCTCGTTACGTCCCTGTTGGCCTGATCATAAGAGTACATGTAAATGGATGTTCCAGAGATTTCAATAACATATCACACCAGAGGTTGTACTGCAAGAAACAGCCAACCACACCCTAGCACACCCCCACACCCCCAAGAGAAAAAGGAAAAGAAAGAAGATGGGGACCGGGGTGGGGGGGGGGGTGTTTGGGATTACAGCATTCATGAACACCTTCAATATTTTGATAATAAAAGTTACCAGCTTCGAATAAAAAGCATAAAGACCATGTCTTCTAAAAAACCAATTCAAGATCAAATTCAATGCAATGGTCAATACTCCTTAAAACATTACCTCTACCACAAAGTGTGCCCAGATTTTGTTATTCCAAGTTTCCATAACCCCCTTCAGAATGGTTAGCCCCATTCCTCTAATCATGTCAGCTATTTCCAGAAACAAACCTTGTTCTTCACAGAGCATCTGCCTCGAAAGGAAAAATTCAAGTAAAATAATGTCTCTAAGCTTGTAAAAATAGCTAGTTCCAGTAACTTTAGGTAACAGGGGCCAATGAGCATAACTATCCACATCTTGAGAAGTAAGAGATGCAAGTAATTACCTTCACAAGCATTTGACGAGGCTGATTTAGATCCTCAACTTTTATAGGGCAGACCATAGATTGTGAACCAACTTCATACGCCCATGTAGCTCCTCCTTCAAGATTCTCTCTTAAAAGCAATCCGCCATCCTTGTTAATAACCTGAAGCTTACAGAAGAATATAAGCAGATGTATATTTTTGTTTCAAGATTTTCTATCTAACCAGGGTCTAGCTGTCTGCTCTTGTATTACTCTTTATGCAACTCTTTTTAATCAATTATGTCCTGAATGCATATGTGTGCGAGCGTATTGTATATGCAATCATTAAATGTCCTATCCTAAGTCTAGTTTGATCAATGTTCGGAATAGTTCAAAAAGAATCCAAAACTTGGAGAAGTTCAAGTCTGAATACAGCACCTTTGACTCTCCTGTTTGTTTTAGCTTATCAGCATGCTTTGTCACACTTTGCAAGAAAAGCATATGCTTGATAGTGCGTTCAAGAAGAGCGTCAATGCTACACTGTTAAAACAAATTAAACACATATGAATAGAAGAACAAATAGATCTTAGAATTATATTATATTCAAAAGAAAATAGAAAACTCGGAGCCTGAAACGAGAAGTGTCACCTTAGCCCCATTTGGCACAATTTCCCTTAATTCTTTGACACGATCTTGGATCATTTGGCGATCTTTTGGTCTGGGTCTAGGATTTTCTCCTGGTTTAAGCCTCTTGCGAGTTGTTTTGTTTGTTTCATCAGGCTTTTTAGAGTATCCAGTAGACACGCTGCTACTCTGTTTCAATTCACGACCCTTTTCAATCCATGAACTTATTTGTGACCCATAAATGGAACTACTTTGCGAAAGGGTTCCTGAATCAACCTTGGAACATCCAGACCTAAATGAACAAGAATTAGCAGTTTCTGCTTTTACCATATATTTTGGAATGCCAAATACCTTTTCCTTCAGTTGATCAGAAACCCCCATCCTCCCAGTGGAAAGTGAAGCATTAGGTGCAGAGGAGCTACTTGGATACGTCAATGTTGTCTTGCAAGAAACATTATCATCCAAGCTAGAAGAATGAACCCTGGAGACCACAGCATCTAAGAGATGGTCACTGCTTGTCACAGAGAAAATACCACTTTCTGAATTTCCTAGGTCAACAGGATATATTTCCGAAGCAGCATCCTGAGTTTTCATAGATAAAGAATTATTTGTGGTCAAACTATTTGTATTCGGATCTGATTGATCGTTCAAACTACTATCCCAGCAACTACGCAATAGTTCGTTCTTAAAATCAACACCCAAAATATCAAATAAATCATCTCCTGATTGAGGTTGGACATATCCATCTTCATATTTGGTATTTATCAGTGGCAGAATCTCTTGTACAAATTCATGTTGTCTGTCATCTTGAAGAAAGCCAGAATTGAGCTCTGCAAAATTCTGATGCTCTTCATGTTGACAATGGATAATACTACTAGTATGAATTACCTTTTTCTCTAATCTGTCCTCGGCTGCTTTCAACTCGTTCTTTGCAAATTTGTCATCAATGTAGTGATGTTTGCTACCAGAGCTATGAGCAAGCAAGTGATTTGTGGTCAAATAACACGAAGAATCAGAAAAGGACGGTTCTATTTTAGACGAATTAGTGTTTGGAAGCCCACTTGAGGTGAAATGCATGGAGTCAATATTTCCATTTGATGGCCTACACGTTGTATCTGAAACAGAATTTGTTCCTAATATTGATTTCACATGGCCACCTGCAACTTCATGTAGTCCACTAATTTCAGCTGATGGAATAGTAACAGAATCTTCATTAGAACTGGAAATCAGGTCAGAATTTGTTCTCTGTGCAGACATCAGAATGCCAGTGGACACATTTTGGTTGCTAAAATGGCCTTGAGTTCCATCAACCAATGATATTTGTCTTTCCACCCATCTTGAATTGCCATTATTCAATGTGGATGAACTGCAAGAAGGTTGTTGATCTAACATGGACCTTGGGATATTCATAGAAGCCTGTTGGTTCAGCCAAATTTCAGGATTTGAAGGGATAACATCAGCTTTTGTCAATGCATTCACCGATTGGTTTTTGGAATTAAAGTTGAACTTAACAGTTGAAACGAGTTCTGATTCCTGGTGGTTATCGTGTGGCTTCACATGATTTTGATTCAAATTCGAGGTTTGAAATGCTGCACCATTTGACATTTGTCTTACAAAAGAACAAGAAGTTTGACTGACAGATCTAGAAGTCTGAGTCGAGTTTCCAGCATAGATGCAACTGTCAGAAATGGGAGGAGTAGGCTTCATCATATTTGATCCAAGATACGAGTCCCCAGGAGTGAAATTTCCAAGACATTCTGATACCCTTGTTTCTGGAACAAGTATCTTTGCCGTATGATTATCAGATAGTAATCCACCAGCTGCATATGACATCTGAAGTACCAAGGTCTTCACATCATTAATAAATCTCATATTCTCCACTATCTGAGACAGCAAGACAATTACATTATATCAAGAACCAGATAAAGCATCGAAAGACTGAGAATTGCGTTCAATTTATATTACTGGACTCTAAAGCAAAATTTAATCTGGAGGATTTGCAGGAACATCAGGGAGGGGAAGAAAAAAATGGCAGCCATCTACTTTACGTAATAGCATTCGTTGCAGGTAGTAGGTGGACTATGAAAGAGACTTAAGTCAATATTTTAATGGAAAATTCAAAATGAACAAATGTAACAAATGGCAGTCTATATTGAACTCAAATGACAAAAAACAAGTGAAAAAAAGCATATACTTTTCGGTTGCTAATAAAAATTCAATCCTAATGTGAATTTAATATGACCACCCCGAGTTTATTAGTAAATAGTAACAAGGCTTGGATTGTAGTAATATGAACTTCATACTGGAATGATCTAGAATTACAAAAGTCTTCCTTGACTAGACCCGTGGGAATGAAGAAAAATAGAACTCACTGTAAAGTGTGAACCAAGTTGAACAACGCCATGAGGAAGAACAGGAATAACTGCCAGTGTCTGATAGAAAGCAAAGAATCAGTGAAACAACAAAAACAGAGCAGCAAACAAAAACAAAGAAAGTGAATATTTATACCTGCATACCAGCAGAAAATTGCAGATACAACTCTTTCAGAACCTTAAAAAAAAAAAAAAAAACAAAAGAATGAGAATTTCACTGTGATGATCCATAATATAGATCACTATTTATACATATCATGAATTTCCAGAATGAATCACTTCTGTGTAAATTTTTGCAGCAGTCCATTTTAACTGAATTGAGCTTACATACAGGCTAGTGAAACTTAATACAAACATAAAAAGGGTCTGACTTCCAATGAAGAAGTACTAGCAGCATAAAAAATAAGTATAATATAACTTTATTTTATGGTGGTTTAGATGGGAGAGCATAAGTAATATGCAGTAACAGAAGCATCTTATGCCATACCTCTCCTGGATGGGGTTCTTTAGTAAAATTGTCCAAAAGAATCCACTGGGGGTTACCAGTAAAAGCAGCCCTTCCTACTAGTCTGTAAAACAAAATTATAATGTAACTAAATTGTGCTCCGTGCAACTCCTTCACAATCTCATATACAGTAAAAAATGCAACTAAGCATAAAAGTAATACCCTTCTCCTACAATATTAACATGCTGGTCCGTCATCATCTGGTTTACAAGCACATGCAATTTGTTCTCTGCTTGAACACTGGGCTGTAGAATGTGATTTTCAGTCAAAACCCAGGAAGCATTATAACCTTCATAACCGATTTTTGGATTCCCAATTCTGGAAATCCCTGGTAGTCCAGCACATGATAGAGGTGAATAATAACATTCTTCCCAAATTAAAAGCCTGCCAAATCACAATTTAGACAAAATCAGCATGTTGGATCTTCCAAGAAACACAATCCAAACTATATTCATATGTTAAAACATTTTAATATTAATATGCTAATCATTCGTGGAGAACCAAGGGTTTGGTAAGTCATATCACATTGATATATAGAAGATCATTGGTTGGGTTGCAAAAAATTACAAGTTGTCAATGGAGGGTTAGCATACAGGTTACTAGGATACATAATGGTGGAAAAGAACAAGTTTGGTAGCATGTATTTTAGAATTATATCTCCATAATTTCCGAGTGCAAAGTGTCTATCAATACCTCTTCTACAGTGTTTTTCTTACTGCACCATACATGTACACGTACACATGTAGTGCATTTGGTTTGAGATACACAATGTTATATCTTGGCTATTCTATGCTAGAGGGATAAATCGAGAGAGTTCTGTTCGCACTAGTTCTTGATTGCATAGGGATTCAATCTCCTTCAACAAAAGCGTGATACTCTCATACGTTAGAATGAAAAATAGTCTAGTTCAGACATTTCATATCTGATTCCTTTCAAAAGGCCTCATAGTTTAAATATTTACTCCTCGACAATATTACAGTACTTTAATACATAAGTGTAATCTCCCAATTTCGTGTATGCTTTCTAGTGTTTGGCAGTGAAAAAACAGAGGTAAAAAACAAAATCCCGGAATTTTTGAAGACAAGAATTTAAGAACATATAGAATCAAACAAGAAAGACAATATTTAGAAATGAACAAATTTATGCATAGGAAATCATAACAGTAGAAAGGATTTCTTAAGATTCTCCAAGACAAAGCTAATGGACCAACCACAAAACTCCAAAGATGTATAAACTGACAGTTACCAGATCACAAAGCAAACACAAAGCAAAATCAAATCCTGTTTAAAGATTAGGCAGATTTAAAACATAGCCAATAACAAGGAAACAAATACAGTATCATCCTCTAATTTGGTCAAAGAAAAAATTGGCAAAGATAGGGACTGAACACTGTAAGTTCAGCAGTTGCACTTGGTTTCCCTGTTTTGCCGGAGCTCTGAGCAAGCAAGTACCATGAGACTGGGATTCTTTTATTTTCATTTGCTTTCTATTAACAAAGGTCAGCACAAAATTCAAGAAGAAAAGAAAATGATTTCATGAAAATTAGCCAAAAGGAACTGCAAAGGAGGACACATCAATTAGTAACATTATTACAACAAATCATAAATTTCATCACAGTTAATTGAAAAGCAATACTAAAATCCCAAATAGTGGGGTTGATTTTCTTGAGAAGTTTTCATAAAAAAAGTGAAAAAATGTTTAATTTTTTATGGAACTTACTTGGGGTTTTGGCAACCAATTTTCCAGAGAACAGCATAATCCCACTGGTTGACTCCACAAAGAGTCTTCAGAACCTCTTTAAACAGATACCCCATTGCAAACACAACTAAATGGAGCAGTACAACAAATGCACCAATGAACAGAAGAATATATCAATATTCTTGGATGTGCCTAGAAAAATTCACTTCAAGAGATCAAATCCTGAACAGAGAGGATAGGGGAAAATTATTTTAATTAGTCTTCCCTGTGGGAAAACATTTTCTTTCCCTTTAGGCTTAAAGCTTAAGCTCCTCTGCAAGACGCACGCCCTGCCTGTTTTGTTCTCAACCCACCACTTCTTTTCCTCAATCTAACCCAATTCCCTGATATCATGCACTTGCAACCCATTCTTCAGAGAGGAAAGAGAAGGAAAAGAAAAAGTAAAGGGAAAATTATAAATGAAAATACAAGAACCCTTTGGCTTTAAAGAAAGAACTCTACACTATCCCACAAGCTCTGAGCTCATAGTTAACCAAAGCAGTAATTTTCTCCATTTTTCAGGGAAAAAACTGAATAATTACAATGATATAACTAGATAAAAATCTAATATATGAGTTTGTGAGAAAAGATGGAAGCTTGCGCTGATTCTTGAGCTGAAGATTTTTTAAGTGCAAAACTTTAAGCCACTGTGTGCCTGTGTTGTTGAGGTGAACTTATGAACTGTGGTTTCTGTTTCAATGTGTGCTTTCCTAGTGAGGAAGATGATGGGGGAAGTGTGCTAAATTGAGCCACGTGATGATTAATCAATGAGAATAGGGTAATGGAAACAAGGATGAAGTTTAAAAGAAATTGCAGTCTACCATTTGTGGGTCTTTCAGTCGGTTTTCTGGTCATTTTCAACTAATTTATTTGGTGGGGTGCGAGGTCGAGGGGAAGGAGAGGCCAAGGGTAGGATATTGTCAGTGCGTTTTGGGGACTGTACAAAGAATCTTTTGGAATTGGTTTAATCAAGAACTGTTTTCTTCAATGTGTAATAAAAATAAATAAAAAAAGAAGAATACACAACTCAAGAAATTCTAAAAACTGACAGAAAGAACTACAGGAAATTTATTAATAAATGAGTATTTTTTTTTAAATTATTTTAAATTTTTCTAAGGAATATCTTGATTTATTTATCTTAATTTTTTTCACAAGGGCTACAGGGTTCCAATTAATTGTTTTTTATTTTATTAGAAATATTTCTAATACCCCATTGCATAAAAATGTTTTATTTTTGATTTTCTCATAAAAATAATTTTTTACTTCAAAAAGTTCTCGACGAACATTATAAAGTAATTCAAGTAACACGATTTCGTGAAATTTTGAAATTTATAATTTCAAAGAAAAGTTATAAATGATTTATTGGATTACTCCATTTATATACGCATGGTTTATATTTTATTTTCAACTATAGAAGAAAATGTAACCTTCTAGTTCTGGAGTTGGATGGTCAAATTGTATTTCCTATATTATTATATTCAAGATTTGCGGGAATTGAAAATGAAATTTCCCTTTTATGCAAATACAAAATTATGTTTTATTAAATAATTTCCTACTGGTTCGATCGTCAATTTTTACCTTTCTCAAGTCAAGGTGGGGGTGGATTTTTCCAAACAAAATTGAAGTTGTATCTTTCAATCTTCCGTCTACTTCTAACTTTGATTTTTAATGGGCAATTAGAGGTTGATCTCTAAAGACGGCTAGTACTGATAGTAGAGAAGTTGTTTATTCATGACGGTCCTCACTTTTTGCATACACATAAAGCTAGATCAAATAATACCATTTTGATATGACTTTTGCTTTTGTTCCAACAAATTATTAAATTCCAAAAAAAAAAAAAAATTAGTTTCATAAATAATTTTTGACTTTTCAAAATTTGGCCGATCGAGCTTTCTAGGTATTTTCTCAATAAAAAAAAGGAAATAATTCACTCAAATATTTGATTTGATTAACTGAGTTTTAATCATGATTTGAAGTCAACCATATTTGTTTCTTACTTTCTTTATCTTGAGGATATACTTGCTCGAGTATAAATTAATTACCAAATAGGATTAACCATTTAATAGACTGCTGATTTGATACAAAATTGACTTTTTAAAATTTAATATTTAGGTATAGTTGAGCGAATACATGCATGAGCGAAGATTAAATTTAATAATTAATTTTGTTTAATTGTGAGTTAGTACATTACAGTTACATGCCAACAGATTAAAATATGGTAGATTTTAATTTAATTATTAATAATGATTTTTCTTTGTAATAAATGAAGAAGAACTCAATGGAGACATAACTATAAAGGGAAATTGCACTTCTTTTAACCCTTTTAAACTCTAAAGTTAATAGTGAAGACATTAAATTCAAGTGATACATATGAAACTTAATGTTATAGTAAAACAAAAATAAAAACAAAAACAAAAATTATGCAATTAATGTTGTGCTAATATTCTACTTGGTGTGACACTTTATGGGACCAATATGCTGGTTTGTTTTGTAGGCATCTCATTGTTTTCTGCACAATTAGACCTCGTCTGTGAACGTATTGAGTAATTACTATGGTAATTTTTTTTATTTTTTTTAAATCAAGTATTAAATTATTCAGAAATACACAATTAGACGTCAACTATCTAACTAAATTATTAAAAAAAAAATTCTTGTGAACGAATAAGGACAATTTCACTTATAAAACATTATAACTCCTTAATCAAGCGCACAATTATGATAAGACTCGAGAAAGAAGTCTCAATTAAATTTGTGCTAATTCCTTCTATAAGATTTGTACCGATTGCATTATGTAGACAAATCATAAGAAGAAGAAATGGAGAGCGTTGATTAGTGTCAAGTGGTTTTATACTTTTTCTTTGGTGGATGAAGTCTAAGATTCATTATGTAACTCTTGCCCTTCAAGCATATACCTTGCAAGAAAGTCAATCCTAATGTTATGTCCCAATTCGTTTTAGATGAAAATCAGTAGATATTGATAAAAGTTAATGAAATGAGTAGTTAATAATTTATGAGTATCATGAAATGAGTAGATAAAATTAAATATTGGTTTTAATTGAAATTTTAATTTACTTTTCGGCTAAACCAAATATAGGTGTAATGTTGAAATGTAGTGAGAAAATTGACTTTCTTTGTCCCTTAATCCCCTTATATTTTTCTTTAAAAAAAAAAAAATTGTTGTTGGGGGAAAAGTTGGGGGGATTGTCAAGTTTTTCTCCATTTGCATTGCACCACTTGTTAATGATTGAGATATTTGAACATTGGCCAACTAATTGAGATCATCATAGGTAAAAAGTGGTTAATGAGATTATAGAAGAATTTAGTAAATTATATTTTATCATATTGCATCTCTTTATGGTGTGACGAAATCGATAAATTGGATTTTGCTTGATAAATATTAATATGATATGCAACGTTGAATGACAGGCACTATATGAAATAACAAATACACATGTTTAATCGATCAAACATTTAATTTACTAACTAGGAGCTCCAATATTTAATTGATGGTATATTTTCTAAATCACATGTTTGTGGATAATGGTATTTGGTCCATACATGTTCGACCCCATATCTTTACTCTATTTATTCATTTATTTTTGAGAAATAATATTTTACTCAATCTATGATGAACCATGTATTACAAAATTTAACACATGAATTATCAACATAAAAGAAATTTAATGTTCTACTCACACTAATATTTTGAGTTAATTCTTAATAGTAACTCATTCATCCCTGATTGTTTTTATATGTTCATAAGTTTTTTCCACCTTAGTAATGAAACACTTTCCGTATATTACAACATCATACTTGCGTCATTGATGATCAAACCTTAATGCCTTTAGAAAAATGGAGACAACCATTGATTTTGTTGGTTAAAATTCCCAAAATAGAGGCAAGATTTTTGGTACGCTAATAGTTTCTTGGGAGAGACGAGGCTGCTTTGAGCCCCTAAACCGCAAGTCTACCCCTTCTATAGACTAAATGCATGTTACCTCAAGCCATTTTTGGGGTCTTCACTCTTCACTGGTAATGATATTCCCATCCCCCCCCCCCCCCCCCCCCCCCCCCCTCCCCTCTTTAGAGAGTTGGAGGAAGCAAAATGGTACAGGTCCCAAATTTAGACAACATGTTCACTAAAATTATATACTGTAATTGCATGGATGCGTTCAAGTAATAAAGCGGACTTGTAAGTCCGAGTATCGAAACCTCAAGGAGTCTTTTTTTTTTTTTTTTTAATTACACAATTATTGACTCAATTTTAATTAAATGAGAAAAGGAAAAGAAAATAGATTTGAAGATCTATTAAAAAAACAATTATGAAAGAGAAGGAATTTTGGTTTATAAATGAGTTGGAATTTACGATGTCACTTAACCATTGTTTCTTTAATAGCTCAATAAATCGAAAATGCAAACTACCAAGTTGCAATTTTTCTCCCCCCCCCCCCCCCCCCCTCCCCCTTCTCTATTGTTAGAGCATCATGAGTTTGCCATTCCAAGGCTCTTCCATTTTGTCTTTTAAGCCCTTGTTTGATCGTTATTATTATTGAGAAAAAAAATATTGATTTGAATAGTTATTTTTGGCAAATGTATAATTAAAAAGTAGAGAAATTTTTTTGATACACATGCAAAATATTTTAATGTTAAAATATGTAATTGAAAATGAGTACGAGAATTAAATAATTTTATTTTAAAGGGAGATGAACATGGGCTAAGTATTAAAAGTTCATGTATGACGTAGTACTCTATAATTTATTTTACCAAATATTTCAAATTGTGCATAATTGTCGCATACATAATAAATGAAATTGAGTTATCTTATATGAAACTCGTGATACATCTCAACTAGGTTAACTAGCATCCCCCAAATTATTAATGAATAAACACGTTCGGTCTAAAGTTCACTCTAAAGACACATCTTATAGAGCAAGTACTAGAAAAAAAAACGATAATTCTAACTTCTGAAATAATTACCTGCAACAAGACTGGAGCGGAAAGCACCAGGTGTTATCATCTGTAGCTACTAGGGATGGCAGTGGGGCGGGGCGGGGGTCTGCCCCGTTTCTTGCCCCGTATATATATATATTTTTTAATAAAGTTAATGTCTAAAATAAACATTCGAAAGTCGAAACAAACACTGTCAAAAAAAAAAAGAACAATTGCAATTAAAATTACATTGTCATTGTACTAAAATTCATTTTTTGATTCAAAACTTGTAATTAGGATTTTTTTTTTTTTTTAAAACTAGACGGGGCGGGTTCGGGGCAGGGCAAGACCGCCCCGCCCCGCCCCGTGACCCGAGACGGGGCAACACTCCCCGTCCCGCCCCGCCCCATCAACCCATCAGGGCGGGTTTTTTTCGCCCCATTCGGGGCGGGGACTCAACAAGGCGGGGCGGGGCGGGGCGGGGAAAACTGCCAACCCTAGTAGCTATTGCCCAAAAAAAAAAAAAATAATAATAATAATAATAATAATAAATCTAAAGAGTTTGCAATGCTTTTACCTTTCCAAAATATGTGAGAAATTCGAGAGTTCGTTCTATTTTACAGTATGTAAATTTCTAGCTCTTTTGTACTGCAAATTCCATGGACCCGAGACAGATCTTGAACATCAACAAACGAACCACAAATGTCGAATCACTCTCCAACCAAAGATTGTGCCATCCTTTGTCCCAATCAAATTTGATAGTGTATATCAACGTCCATATTTTAAATACACATATTTTTCCTATTGTCACATGCATAAATTTGTTAGTTACTGGATAATTCAAGTCATTTAACATTTACAAGGACAATTTTTTGATTTTCAATTTTTATTATTTATGTTCAACATAATTCTTGGAACTCATAATTTTTCAATCTCACATTTTATCATCTTTTA